ATAAGTGCCCTATTTTAATTTTTCACTGTGTCCTGCATATGTCCAGCAGCCTGACATTGAAGAAACCTTAGGGGAATTAAAGAAAAAAAATGTCTACATAATACATTTTTAATTCCTAACATTAAATGGTTTCCCATTCTTTCCAGGAATTATGGTTACGTTTTACTATTTTCACTTAATAGTCACATGAACTGGTTACCATTATTATGAAGAGATCTTCCTGGCACTGATGATGCCAGGGGACAATAACTACTACATTAAATCTTTTCAAAGAGATGTTGACATTAGGAAACTGGACAGAAAGAACTTGAATCAATTTGATAACCAGGTTTTAACTGAAGGCAATTACAGAAAAAGAAATTTAAACATTACACTTCCAATATTTTAAGAAGTAAGGGGATACAAATGAAAAGATTTGAAATTGACAACCCCCCCATTTCATTGAAATGGGCGTTAAACACTCCCATATTCCCTTCTTTCATTTTCTGACCGAAACCAAATAGTGTCTTCGATATGCCTTATCTTATCATGCAAAACAAAATAGTCCAACATTTACAAGGCATTAGCGGGGCATAAAATACTAACAAAGAGAAGAACGCACACTATTATGTGAAGATAGATGATCCACAAATGAAGAACATGGATTTTTGTATATATTTTGCAATAGAATGGATTTATGGATCACTCCCTACCAGCAATAAGAGATTAAGGACATGCATCTATGTGGGTTTTCAAAGAGAATCATGGGAGAGATCCATTCAAGTTGCGGTTGATTAGGCTGCATTCAATTTCACACCAATGCTAATGGGTTTTCTTTTTAAATAGTAGTGAAGACTAGGTTCTTTAGCCTTACAAGGCAACTAATTTATAAGAAAAATGGGTTGAATTCAAAACAATGGAGTTGAAACCACTGTAGGCATTTCCCAAGAATTCATGGTAATTAACTGAAAATAAGGAATTTTGAGGAGAGGCATGACTGACTATTTGCTGAATATCGGATGTCAAGCCACGCAAACTTCCCACATGTCAAGCCATGTCAAGCCATGTAAATTCCCCACATGTTAAGAGACAATATCAGTGAAAAGAAAAAAATTGTATGACATAATGGAATGAGTTTTCATGTAATATGCTTTGTTCTTTTCATTATAGTCCAAAGAATTCCTAAAGGACAAAACAGGTCACACAATTACTTTTTCCACTTTGTCATACATTTTTTCTCAATACATTAATCCAAAAAGTGAAATACCAATATATAAAATTCTTCAGAGATTTTTTTTATTATATGGAGTAAGTGAGATGGTCTGATTTGATTTTTATGGCTTATCAACCTTTACAGGTTATTTAAAGCCAGAAAATATTTTTTAGATTGAAATAAGTTTTTGGAGACAACGATTTACTGATACAAATCCTACTTATTAACCCATAACTGGGGGGATAAAAGGTGAATTCATACCATTTCCCAAGAACATTTGTGCATAACTGAATAAAACAAACCTGACTGGAATTGGAACTCTGAATCCCAATTATGAGCCATTACATCACCTGCACATCCAAGCTCACAACAACCAGTATTCCCAAGTGTTCACTCATCAAGCTACTGACCAGGTTCATCATAACTTCGGTGACTGTACAAGAACTGGTGCGTTATAGCTGTAAGTCCATTACATCACCATCACATCCAAGCTCACAGCAACTGGTATTCCATGAGGTCACCCATCTAGATACAGACTAGGTTTCATGTTGTTTAACTTTGATGATCGTACAAGAACTGCTGTTTCAACATGATATGGCCATAAGCCCACTACACCAACCGCACATCCAAGAATACAGTGCCTGGTATTCCTAAGCGGTCACTTATCTAAGCACTGACCAGACTCGATGTTGCTTAACTTTGGTGATTGTATAAGAATGTCAGCCTTCAGTAATGCAGAAAAAGTAAACTTGCTTTAAGAAAGCATGCATAATTTGCCATTCACACTTAAACCAATTTCAAACAAACTTTGGACAGAAATACACAACGCCAAAGTTCAAGAAGCTAAGAATTAGTGCTAAATTGGAATGGAATAAAGTGTTATTGCAGTACAAAGAAATTCCTGTTTTCCTGGACTATGTGCCATTGCATATAAAATGTAATGTCTGTTACCAGACAGTAAGCGAAAAAAGAAAAAGAAAAGAAAAAAAGAAGATAACTCATCATTTAACATGTATTCCTAGATTCACACTAACATCAGAATCAAGTCGATTAGAACACAAATGGTTCTAATAGAAAATGAACTGGAGAATTCAAGGTTAAATGTTTAAACTCGACACTGGATACAGATCCAGATGCCTAAAAACTTAAATGTTCTTTTCAAAAATCTGTTTTTAAATATTATTTTAATATATTTTTTCAATTTCCTAAATGCAAAATTTAAATTTACATCAATTTACATTTTTGTATTGAAGAAAAAAAAAAAAAATATTTAAATTAACATGAAATAAAAAGCTTGGTTTCGCAGGAAAATATTTTTTCCATAAATTTATTTCAATTTAATTGCTGGTATGACAAAAGATTAGAAATTCAATTTTAAATTTGCTGACGAATTCCAAAATCCTGTTAGGAAAATTTCTTTTTTCATTATCAACCTTATATAGATATAAGGGTTATAATGAAAAAGTATTGTACTAGTTGAATTGGACTAGTTTTCAGGGTTTTTTGATTTTTTTTTTCTTAAATCATTTCACCCTAAGCAAGGTAATAAAGCCACTAAGATGCAAGGGTTTACTGAATGTTAAAGAATAAGAGAAGACCAAGAAATAAACACCTATTAAGGAGAGTGAACAATAAAAGAACAAGAATTAAGACAGATAACAATTGACATTCTATTTAAATTTTTGAAGATCAAAGTTGAATGGGAAGAAAGAAGCCGGAAGTGAATTCCACAAGCGAGAAGTGCGAGTGAAGAAACTGTTAGCATAGAACTTTCGGTCACATCCAGCCATTTTGACCGTAAAATGATGAGACCTCACCCAGTATTGCACTTAAATTCATAAAATCTAGGTACCAGAAATGAAAACCATAAAAATATTTATAGAAAAATCACAGGGGAGCTACGTTAAGGTGATGGGAAAGTGACCAAAGCTGAGATGGTCTGATGCTTCTGCTATATATTTAGAGATTCTTGATAAAATCTAAAGAAGAACATGCATTGTTATTGGTCCTGACCTGGCATCTCAGCTTCAGTCACCAGCATAATGTAGCTTCTTTCTTCCTTTTATCTCAATACTTTCCTTTTATTAGGATGAATTTACAGCGATGCTAGCTAGACTTTATTAATTTAAGAGCAGTACTAGACTGGCAGTTAGGTCTCATTTTACAGTTGAAATGGCTAGATGGAACCCCAAGTTATATGCTAATAGTTTCTTCTATCGGCTTCTTGCTTCCAAGTCATTTTTATCTTCTCTCTTAATTTATGTTCTTTTATTGTCCTCTTAATAATTTTTTTTTTCTTTCCTCATATTCTCTAACACTCAAAACCCCTTGCATCTTGTCTTGCTTGGAGTGAAATGCTTGATTACACACACACACACACACACACACACTAGAGTTCAAAAGTTTGAAGCCAACCCCCAAAATTAGCATGGTATGAACTTGACAGAAAAGTGAAAATTTTTTTTTTTTAAGCATTACGCCCCGAGCAAGGCGGGAAGCCACTAGGATGCAGGGGGTTGCAGAAGATTTGGTGCAAGAGCAGATAGGAGGATGAGGAAAGGATGAGGAGAAGGATAGTGGATAGATCAAGGTGACTGGAGATGTCGTTTGACATTACATTTGAATAGTTGGAGATTATAGCTATCAGGGAAACAGTAATAGGGAAGGGTGTTCCACAGGCGAGAGGTGAGAGGTATGAAGCTATTGGAGTAGAAGAGACGGCTACATTTAATAGTTTCTACAGTGAAAGGGCGAGAGCGGGATGCCAGCCTCATAGGGCGCTTAAATTCATGAAATCTTTCCATCCCCCAAAAATGAAAAGGGCTCTTGAGTCATTGAGAAAAATATGTTGAGAAGGGCTCCTCGAGGCGATGTAATGGTTAACAAGCTTGTCTCACTAGAACAATTACAACTCGGTAGTGAGTTCGATCCTCACTGGGTACCCCCTACTTTCGACCTTGTGCCACATCTAAGCTGTGCTTAGAAAAATCACTATATGTTGAGAAAACTTTGCAAGGAATGACAAAAATTTCTGCTGCAGTAATCAAGGCGAAAGGAGGATATTTTGACGAGGGCAAAATTTAATGATAAAATTCCTAATAAAAAAAAAAAAAAATCGTGTCTCACGGGTTTTTTTTTTTAACCATGTATAATAACTTTCTCTTATTTAAAGTACAAAACAATTACTATTTGGACCAAATTAAAAAAATTACCAGGGTAACCTCAACCTTTTTAACTGTAGTGTAGTGTGTGTATATCTGAGGCTATGAATTTATTGATCCACACTTATATGGTAGATAAAGTTTTTAATGCAAAATTAGATTACTCAAAAGGGGAAGTTAAAAATAACCAATTAAATTTTTTTTTTTATCATTTTCATTTTATTTTGAAATTATTTTTGTTCAATAAATTTTCAAGTTTTGTTAACCAGGAAGCACTCTTCTTTTCTTGGATATTTCTGAATAAATAATAAAAATAATTTGTAGGGTTTACGTTTCTTCTCAAAAGTAACAATATGGAAGGGTTTTTCCTATCAGGGAGACAAAAACTGTAAAAAGAAAAATAACAACGATGGAACAAATAAAATTATTTTTACTAAAGAAAGAATGGATTACATGATCAAATAATTTGAAAAAAAAAAAAAATGGCATAAGTCGGCTTCGACTTTTTCTTGAACGCCTTTCAAAGAGAAAAAAAAAAAATCAAAGAAAAAGCATCCAACAATAGACGGCTCTCCAAAAGCCAAAATGACATCCTCAAATTATAAACCCGGGGGTAAATTTAATAAATAACACTTTATTTCAGGCACTGGGGGGTGTAAATGAGAGAGAGGGGGTAAAAAAAAAAAAGACAGCTTGGGTATAGACAAGCTGGTAGCAGAGGATAATATCATTATTATAATCAGGGTCGGTTTTGTAGATGAGCGGAGGTCTGTTGAACAAGTTGGCCCTGTTGTTGGCTGTGAGAAAGCAACGGGTGATGGGAGAAAGTAGGACTTCTTAAGCTGGAAGCAGCGAGGAAAAGCAGTTTTGTTGTTTTTTTGTTTTTTTTTGAAAACTAAAGTGTTCAATGCTTAATAATAATAAAACTATAGTAGCGGGCTTCTAAATGGTGACTACCCTCTACGCGTATTACACAAGGGAACTTCTTTTTTGTTTTACTTTTGATCGGGGATCTGGCTTGTTTTAAAGCATTTGATAGCTTTAAGTTTGTTTATTTTTTTTTTTTTATACATAAATAAAGCATAATTATTCTGAAAATTTAGATGATAAAGTGAAACTAAATCCCTTTTTTTTTTTTTTAATTTTACAACAGTCAGTAGGTTTAAAAACAGAATGTTGTTTGTTTTTTTGTTATTTTTTAACGCAAAAGTCAAATGACCAAAGTTTGAAGACAAGGAAAAATAAATTTTGTGTACATCACGTTTAAATTTACAAACATTTGGTCAATGTAAACTGTACCCAAAGTACCCCTACCAAAATATTTAATTTAGAGCACAAGTCACAAGACTTTTCCTCAAGACCCCCCCCCACCTCTTCAATTAAAGAGGTTTTTTTTTTTTTCAACATCTCAATTTGATATTGTTTTCGATAAAAGGCGAGATATTCCTCGTGTAGGGTTTTAAAAAACTTAAATAAAATAACAGTCAGTTTTTTTTATATATATATATATATATATATATATATATATATATAATTAAATCAGATTCACAATATGAAGAAAAATTTGAAAAAAAAGGAAAGAAGAGACTTGAAAAAGATGGAGACGTTTGTCAGTAAAAGGAGGGCAAAGTATAGAACTCGTTAAAAAAAAGGGATTATTAGAATTTCTCTTTTGTTTCAAACCCACCTTTTAGGTTTGATTTCATTGTACAATAACAAAAGAGAATTTGATTTTTTTTTTAATAGTACTCGAGATAATGAATTGCTACTGTAAAAAAAAAAAAAACTTGTTTTTTTTGTCTTTTGTAAATGGCATTATTTCTTAATTTTAAAATATGTCACTCAAAAAGAAACCAAAATATGTTGTGCATAAGGGATATTTTTAAAACATTTTTTTTTAAACAAAAAAAAAAAAAAGCAAGAAATATGACAACCGCTACCCCTGGGTAGAGAATTCAAGTGCCCTGGTACTAGCAGTTTTTTTTTTTTGTCTTCTTAAGGGTGGGGGATTTATAGTTGTGAAAGATTTTCCCCCTCATTTACATAAGGAGGGTTCTTTAGTAGAATTTATAACAGAATTTAAAAATAAGTATATAATAATTGTTGCCGATAAGTAACTAGTGGCAAATTTACCCGTAGCAACAGACTATTTAAAAACTAAAAAGTAATATTTCTCTAACTAAAAGGGAAAGCTAATAGACAGCAATGCCTAAAATATTCAACACAATAGATACTTTAGGAATCAGAAACGATAAACCTGGTAATTTTAAAATTAAATAGTCAAAAATCAAAATTATTCAGTGCAACACAAAGAATCTCTTGCAATACATTCAATGAAACGAATACAGTGATTAGATAAGAAGAAGAATGAATTTTATATCAGAATAGAGAATACTAACAAGGTGGATCAGATATAAAAATATTTCAACTTAAAAATATTTAATACAGAAAGACACTTTTAAAAGAATTTAAATACTTGTTTCATTTTTTTCTTTTCACAATTAAAAAAACAAAACAAAAAAAATAGTAAAAAGAAAAAAAAAAAAGGAAAATGAAACAAATATTCTTTTAAAACCGGCAGGGGAAAAGAGGTCCCTTTTTAAAAGAAAGGGATGACCTGGGTCAACACTTCTCCCTAAAAATGGGTTATTATTATTATTAGACAATTTTCTGGTTTGTGTTATTAGTTTATAACTGGAGTGGAAATTAACAATTACTTTGTTTTAATCTTTGACCTATGGTCATCGTTCTGTGCGCACTTGGACTAATTCGTTAGGCCGAATTTATTATTATTAAAATCAAATTTTAAAACGAAAAGGCCGATTAGACAAAGAAAAAAGGGGTCAGCTGAGGGAAAATCAAAAATAGATGAATTCAAAGAAAGGTGATCATTATTTAATTAAAATAAGTTATACTTGTAAATTTAAAACAACATTGGGTTTTTATTTCGCAAAAATAAGAATTCATTTTAATTTAGAGCTGTATTGTATTGAGATGGTTAGAAACATGTAGTTCCGAGATTTTATTTAAAACTGAATGTAATAATGATATTATTACCCAAAAGAAAAAGACATTTATTTGCACGACTGTTCATGTTTTTCCAAATTTTTAAGATAATTGTGTGCAACAACCACTACACACATGTAA